CACCGCCTCATATGGCTACAAATTCAGCGATGCTGCTGGTTATCAGTGGAACACCCAAAGCACCCCCAACAAGTTGTGAAGGGAAAATGTGAATATGACTGGGCATCGTGCTGTCAAGGTGATCAACAATCAAATCAGAACCCGTTGAGGCGAGGAGAGGCTCCAGCAGTACCTAGCCTGACAGAGTGCCGCATAGCCATCTGGAGCGGAAGAACAGCCTTGCTTGGGCAGATCTGTCAGCTAGAGAAAGCTGGTAGGACTCCAGTGCTTTATTGGGTGCTATAAGCTAGAAGGTCCTGGGCGACTCTGATGGGCCAGAGGAGAAAATCAGGTAGACGGTGCCAGGGGAATCCCACGCATCGATGAACGCCATAGAAAACTTTGCAGCTCGCCCCGAAGTTTTGTCTTTGTATCCCCTGCCTTCGATACCAAGCTCGATCATTGAGCTCAGTACCTCGCCATCACTTTCAGCGTTGTGCCTATGCCTGTGTTCCCAAATGCGAACGATTCCGAACAGGTATTCTTTGTCCTTCATGCACTTGTATACTAGCAGGAGTATTGCGCCTCATACGAAATCAAGGTCTCGAGAACCCACCAGGATCGATGCGACGCCACGAAAACTCTGCCCGAGCTCAATCAGGCAGATGCCCCTTGGCTACCTTTTGGTGCTGATATTAGTATACTCATACCAGCATCGCTGGGAAGGATCATCGTGCCGGACACTTTCCAACGCGAAGAACCCTGGAATAGGGCCCTTGTGCCGCTCGACCAGCTCGGTCGTGATACATACCACCACGGACTGACCGGCCGGCCCGGCGGCTGCTGGGTGCAAGTCACTGGTGCACAAGTCCCGCTTGAGACGGAGGAATATGGCGAGGCTGAAGACTCTTGGGAGCAGCGACATGCTGATAAGTCGGTGGTACCTCGTCTCACGCGCGGCCAAAGCTCGCGGACTGGCTGGGCAAAAAGTCAAACTACCATGTACCGGGCTCCCAGGCCGACTCGATTTCTCCTACTTGTGTATCTGAATGGTTACGGCGGTATAGGCGGTTCTTCGCGCAGGACATTGATATCAACAGGCGCATCATTCGGGGAGATGGTCGAGGTCATTTTGAGCTCAAAATGCGTTTGTCAGGGGACAGCTCTCCAAAACGTACCATGGATGTGGCTCATCTCAAGATGCGCAAACATGATGGATTTGAGCGAGGGTTCTGATGGTGTGCTTTGTTTCTGCAGTTGTGTTTGTTTCTGCAGTTGTGTTTGTTTCTGCAGTTGTGCTTGTTTCCTGCCATGGGCCTGTCCACGGCTTCTGATAACGAGTCGAGTCGACCTCGAGCGGTCTGACGCCGCTAGAATCATGGATCGTCGCTATAGTCGCAACTTGTTGCGGAGAAAGGTAATTTCTGCGTATCTCTTTTTGCTGCTGGGGATCGATTTGGTACGAGATGAGAGACATCCGATCAATCACCGACCTTACTTATCCGGGATGGGATTCGCCTTGACACGACAAGCTGGTCCGGAGTGCCTCGCACCAGGAAGAGAGTGCGGGGCTCCTAGTTCGTCTACTCTTTGTGTAACAGTTCGGCTACGACTTGTCGTGGTTCGATGATGAGTGCTGTATACTCGTGAGCAGGTCCTTGAGCGCCAGATCGAGGGGCTCCCCGTCGAGGGCCTGCCTTCTCTATTAGAAATGCATGGATCTTATCGTTGTCTTGCGCTGTAAGAGCCCATCAGACTGAGGGCTAAGACGAGGAGCGATCCCATCGCGAGTAGTGGAAAGCAAAGCACCGACATTCAAGTGTGCGGGTCACCACTCACAGTGAGGAGTAGCAACTAGTTTCCTCTCATGGTACAGCTGCTTCTTCCTGTAAAGGATTGTGCCCATCTTTTGTTTGAGAATGTGAACCGTTGGTGGGGGAAAGGCAAGCCATCGAACCTTTCGCGGGATTGGCAGAGCAAACGAGGGGAGGAACCGTATACACAAACTTTTGAAGCTCGGACAGACTGCATCAACCGGCACCGAGAAGAAAGCTTCAGTAGAACAGTGAGCTGCTTTTGGGCTCCATCTGAGGCCGTACAGAGGCGTGGACCACCGTGCTTGTAAGATCGGAGCACAGGGAGGTGGTGTTGAAACGGAAGAACCGCAAGGTAGCCTCACATCGGCTACATGGCGCCAGCACCTCGTGTCTGCCAGGATATGCAGCACTCAAAGTCTTGCGTAGGTCGATGCACGCTGCGGACGCTGTGTACGTGGTATCGCTCGGAAATGCATTGCTTCCAAGGGTAGAAGACGCGGATATGCTCATTGTTAGTGACAAAATCAAGGATCAGTATCATTCAGCAATGGAGGCACGTCTAGTTATTTCTTTGTAAAGACTCCTTCGGATGACACGGCCGACTCGGCGGTTCGTCCTTGGATTGGATTTGGGCTCGAAACGCCATCTCGCCATTCAGGGTCTCACGATCAATGTGGCTGGGAAGCGCGATTGGCGACGTTCAAGCAACATGACATGCATGCCATGTTTCAGCCATGGAAAATGATTCCGGTGAGTCCAAACTCCTACCGCCTGATGTCCACAGAAGCAACGACCAAGAGAGCTATGCGCATACTCGTAGCAGCTCTGTATCCAGAAGTTCTGCGATTTCAAGGGTCTTTCTTTATCCGACCGTCCGCCTCAAGTTGCGGTGTGCTTCGACGGACCGAGCACGTCGAGGTGTAATTGAGAGTGGGTATAAGGGTCTCGATGGCTAGCGGATGTACGAGGTACGTATCGATAACGATGATCACAGCACAAGGGCTTGTGGCTGGTGATGATATTCTTCTAGAAGATCTCGGTCTGACATGGAAGTTTAAGGAGACGTCTTCTGCTTTCGTAGCTACAAGCTTCGAGACTGTCAATCGCGCGAGGACAAATGCCCGAGGATCTAACGAGTAGGAGCTGGAAGTGCATCGATGCTTACGCCGCGTGTTGTCAGAGTTATGCATTCTGGCAATCTTCGCAGCATAAGCATTCGGTACGTGAGCCGTGAATGCACGGATACGAGCTATCTAGGTAAACGCCGTCGTGGCTGTCACATCCGCCGCGATTCTCGTAACCGAGACTCTGCAGTCAGCTAGGATGGAATTGGCGAAGTCTGAATAAGAGCTTTTGCCTTTAGTCCAACAAGAATTAGGTTGGACGGATCTGCCACGCAGGCGGCAGAATGTCTCAGAAGTCATGATGCAAAAGCCGCTTTGATATCCTGGGTCGCGGGTCGGCTGCATGATAAGCTGGAAAAGCCATGCGACTGTACGTATATGAACAGAGAATTTCGACTGGAATGGTTGAGTGGGCCGGAAGGTGTCTGGGTTCTCGAAGCATAAGAGGAGGCCGCTGTGGATAATGAACGGGTCCTTGAACTCTCAACAGCAGGCAGCGGGAGCTTAGGCCCTCGTTGCATCCGCTGTGTCTTGTGGCCGCGCGTCCTGCTCCAAAAGATTTTGGCATGCGAAACAAGTGAGACGAGCAGCAGGTTGCATAAGGCCCTGACGCGACCACAGTGATCATGTCTTAGGACGATCGGACGCTCGGGGCTTTCCCAGAGGCCTGTCCAGTCTGTACTGCGTCACACCCATGCGGACCGTGTCAGAAGGATGTGGACTCGACCCGCCTGTAGACTTGGCTGCTCGAATGCGGCGTTCATCTACGAGTACTCATGGCAGTTGGAACCCTAATCGGCCGGTTCGTTCGACCGCCGCCGGTATGATTGGCGATGATTTGCGGCACCAGGTATCAGTCACGGATTTTGCCTGATGCCTGGCTTCCGGACGTGCCAATGAGATGACGATGATAGAGCATATGCGTGAGGGTCGCCGTCGTCCACAAAGAATTACTCCCCCGTTTGTCGCTTACCGCATCGAGGGTGCAGCAGCATGAGAAAGCAGGATGAAAGTTGGAAGAAGTCACCATCGTGGAAACGATGGGGGTGGCTTGGGGGCCCAGGTGCTGCCCTGAGTGGCCCATCGATGGAGCTGTGGACAGCCGGGGCGGAGAGGTGTGGGCCTCGGACAGCCGAGCAGGGGCAGGCCTCCTTAGCCCCATCCACCAGAACGGGCTTTACCCAGGCCAGTATCGCGCCATCGGGCTTTTGGGATGTGTTGGGCCGGTGCTTCCAGTGGACGCGCAGTGACAGTCTGCATTGCAATTCGAGTCGTCAGTGGGATGTGAAATCCGCATACTCAGTACTGGGCAGGAATTTTGATATCCGAGTCGAACATGGGTGAGTTGTGTTCCGTTGCGGTTATGGCGGGTTCCTCTTCCTTTCACTTGAGTCTGTCCCTTCCGCACGCTTGGCTGCGGCCCAGTCTTCTACACGCACGGTTATCGTAGTCGCTCAACTGCTCGTCCCTTCCTACACTCCTTCCTCCCAGCTCTAATAATCCACCACGTCCACCGTGAGAAGACTGAGGCTATATACATTCAGGAGACCAACGAGACTACGTCAATCGCTACATCATAAGAAGATCTGAGGCACGTCTCACCTCGTGGTCCTAGCTTCTCTGGTGCCCCTCCGTCCTGAAACAAATCCTCACCAGCGACACGATCCCTGTCACTGATCCCTCCGCCAGCCACCCGGGCGACCATACCAGTCAAGCAAACAAGCAAGGGAGTCACGTTGCGCAGTCCACTCGTGCTCGAGGTATTTTCCGGGCGGTTCAGGGTGTCGCTGCATAAACGAAATATCATCCCACTCACTGCCAACGTCCTTTGACCGACAGTACTTCGCTCTTTCCGTCTCTACACTGGGTACTGGGTACCCAACTTCGACTTCATCCATCGCGCTTGCTTAACGGTACCTCGAAGCGCCCACCAGTCTCTCGCTTAGAGCAGCCTGCAACCACTTCGCCCTGTTGTTGGCATCAGCCGCTCACTAAGTGCCAACTTCTCATTCTTCCCGCCATCTAACTTAAGTTTATCAATCTCCGTTATCGATTCGTTATCGTCGGCACCATGACAACCATGTCCCCTCCAATTTCTCCACAGCCGTCCGAAACCCGTCCGAGGGCTGGGACGGCCATGAGCTTTTCATCTCAACGATCCCGCCGCAGCAACTCTTCCGCCAACAAGCTAGAGTTGACCGAGAGTTCCAAAGAGAAGAAGAGGTTGAACACAAAGGCAGATCCGTCGAGAGCCATCACTGAGGCCACGCCAGGTCAGTCGGCGTTCGCTCAATATTTGGCTGGCAAGCATACTGACTTTAGGGTAAAGCGGAACAGGCACAAGAGGAATCGACAGTCGAGGATTTGCGGAGGATGATGCACAAAGACAACGATGGCAATCTTATCAGTATGGTCGCCCCCTCTATGTGTGTCTTTCAAACCGTCCACTGACCGTACTACAGCCGATCCTGATCGTTCCAATCCTACCCGCCATCGTATGGAGCGCCCACTAGACACCATCCGTGCGTTTCACGCAGCTGCGGAGGGGACGAGCACGCGGCGCTCCTACAATAGCAGACCAGGTATGTTTGGGGTCACAACCACCACTCGGCTTTTCATTGACTGGTCCAGGTTCCCAAGTTGGCTGGAATGGTGACATGAACCGCCGGGCAAGCTACTATTCGCAGAATGGATACTCCCCGCAGCGACCTCGTGTATCACCTAGTGGTGGATACTACCGCAATTCTTCCTATGGTTTCGCTCCCCAAAGCGCGGTCGAAGAGTCCCCCGGTGCTTCCCAAATGTACGCTCGGCCACCTGTACGTCAACAAACCCACCCCCATGCTGGCCCGCCAAACGGATACCCGAACGGCTATCAGCACAGCCCCAGCAACGGGGAGAGTCCAATGTCCTCGCATGCATACCACCACTCCTATGATGCGATGACCAGTGGCTCCGAGGAATATGGCAAATCGACAAATCCGAGCTCCCAGAACAGCTCTTTTGACCAGCTCCAGCAACTTCGGACCAAGCCAGAAGACTTCCCCCAGGAGAACCCATATGCCAAAGAGATTCAGTTCAACCAGACCCATTCGCCACAGCCATTCTCACCCTATGGCTCACGGGATGGTGGTCATGATCAGCAGATCCACGCCCCAGCGGCCCCATCAAACCAGTACACACCGCCCGCTGCAAACGATCCCCGACAACCAATCAAGCTGAACGGCATGTCAAATACTGCTGAAATCACTCCTCCTGCTTCACCTAAGAAGCAAAGCTGGATCAAGAGACGGTTCAGCAAGCGAGCGTCCTAGGTAAAGAAAAGTGAAAAATTGAGCTTAGATGAATTTCATATTTTTGGCGTCTGAGACATCCCAATGAACATCACCGGCTCTTTAGGTACATGGAATCCGGATTGGCATAGCTGGGCCAACACTATAGAGGACACTCCTCTTCATGACTTAATGTTTGATGTAATTCTTGCATGATGACTGGGGGATGACTGAATGTTCGTGGTGATCCGAGTGGTTGGAACGGCTCGAGAGAGAGCCGCCTGGGTTAGTCATGGAAGAAGACTGTTCTTCAGAACTATGGTGTGCAGGTCACACACAGTCTCCAGGGTGCCTCAGAGCACCACTCGCTGGTCTCAATCAGCTTACAAGAGCGATGACCCGCCTGCAAGAGTGATAGTGTCGTCCATGTACTCCGCACGTGACATGCTATTGAGCCTTCTTCCGTTTCTCTTCCGCCTCGATCTTGACGGTTTGATCTTCGCGCATAGCCACGATAATGTAGGCGAACAGGACCACGTTCGCCATGATGGCGGCAAATGCGCCGGAATATGTAGCGTTACCTGGGACAAACACCTTAGCCGCCGAACGCTTCCAACGAACGTGCTTCTCATCATCATAATAATAAGACCCGACGGTTGGACGTACCCGCAAAGACTGTATTGACCGAGAGAAAATACGACCCAATGGGAACAATGATCATCGCCACCGTGAAGCCCAGCAGCTTATAGACGACGGACCTAAGGGTATTGCCTCAATCAGCCGCCGCCGCCGCCGCCTCAAAACGAAATAATCCATCTCTACGATCGTCGCACGGTGGAGGCCCACGTCCAAGAAAAAAACTCACGCCGGAACAGCTGGTGCCGTGTCAGAGAACTGGCTGGAGGTGGGCGGACCGCCTTGTGCTTCTGAGATGGTCTTTTCGGGGACGTTCCTCCGCGTCGCCATTGTCGGCGCCTGTCGTGTCGTGTCTATTCGTGTCTGTTCGTCCTGTAGGTGGGGGAGGATGGGTTCTCAAGCCCTAATTGTGTAATTTATTCCTGGACTGTCATGCAACTGTACGCGAGTACATCCAACGAGCTGACGAAAAAGGTGATGGATGAACGAAGAAAAAATGGTTGAGTGAATGGGTGGGTGGGTGACTAGAAGTAGCCACGAATTGAATAGTTCGAGGTTGGAGGAGCTTTCCTTTGTCGTGAGGTACCGTGGGTAGTACTGTATTTGTAGCAGCCTCCAGACTGAATCGACTGTTGGTGAAGGCGGAATTTTGAGAAAGGTCGACTCCGAGAATGGAGAGCGTTGATTGGCTGACGGGAGACCGCGAGCGAGAGCGAAGGAGGCGCCGCGCAGGGCAATTGGGCGTGTTTGTTTTCTTCAACTCGGATATGGAGTACAGTTACTCCGTACGCAGTTCTAGTACTCCGTACCTAGCCACCTTGTTGGCATTGGCGCAAAGGCCCAGGATCAATACCAGAAAGTCCATATGTGGTCCCAGAGTTGTGCAGTCCGCAACCACTACGTCGGTGAGATATACAGGCGGGCTATGGATGGTTTGCGCGAAAATCGCCTCGAACTCGTTGCAGGACACATTGCTCCAATGTCTGCACGATTCCAAGCCAGGGTTTCCTTCCCCTTCGTCGACTGTCAGTAATGGCCGGTTGACCCGCCAAAATACTAGCGGCGCGGTATTTGCACTCAGCTTGCAGACCATGCCGATCTGTGAGTGAGGTCCAGTGCGTCCGCTTGACGATTTTTCAGAACAAAAAATGACTGCCATGATGGGGATTTCGACGTAGTGACAGACGATATAGACGCCAGACAAGCTCGGACTGAAACATGACAGCCCCCTACGGGTACCAAGATAATATTGAGGCCCACAGCGATGACCGGACAAAACGCGGTAGGTCCAGTCCTCGAATGGCAACAAGTGCTCGAGGTTCTGCGTATTGATGCCGGCGCGCGAGCAAAGGGACGCCAGGTCGATGCAGATCCAAGACATCTGGTTGGACACGTCGACGATTTTCTGCGGGCGCGACCACAGCGGGCATGCACCGATGTAGCTTGCTCCGAGATAGAGACTGCTTATGGGCGAGGTGGCCAGTACGAGAAACGTCTTTCCAAAACTGCAGGGGCAGTTGCGCGATTCTCATATCGAGTCGTTGAACCAAGAGTTCCAAGTAAGAGAGGGACCCCAGGCCCATCGTCCGCAAAGCGGCTGGCGCAGGTACAAAAGGAACTGACTAGGGGTACTCGATACAAATGCCGCCATCCCACCCAAGCAGAGCATTGTCACGAAGACGTTGGCACCCACGATGGAATGCGCGATCAACATGGAAGCTGGACCACCGGTAGCCAGCGACTTGCCAGTTCCCAGGAACAGGCTGGTGCCAATGGTCGCTCCGATGGCGTTCATCTGGACTTGCCGAGCTGAAAGCCTGCGTGCTAAGAGGTTCAGAGTGAAACCAGAGGCGTCAGTCTTACCCGCCCTTCTGCAACTTGACAATGCTCACGGCTTAGCTCCATGTATACATCATTGACGATGATATCGCTACCCGCTGAAGAAAAACAAGACAGAGAGCATTAAAGCAGCTCACATGCCTTATGCCCGTTACTGATACGCCACCAGCACCGTTGAAGTAGAATATCTTGCGTATTGCGTGCTGAAAGCTTTGATGGCGGTAGGTCGGCCGTTCACTGAAAGGATTTGCTGAGCCCCGGCAATCACAAGGCGGTAGGCGTACGGTACATTTGCGGATGGCACCGAAGTCGCCAAACAGTACAGACGACAAAGTCCAAGCGCTGAGGTCTGGCTTCCGAACGCTTCACGACTCTGCTCATCACCGTAGACCGTGCCAGACACGAGCATGACGTCTCGTTGTATTGTTGTGTTGTGAAGAGTTAGGCGTATGCGCATGGTCCTCGTACTGCCTCACCACGTACCGAGAGGCTTCGCCTGCCAAGCTCAACCGCAATTGGCGACACGGGTTTCTTTGCTCCGCATGGTCACGGTTCAGGCATAACACCTTTCTCCAATCCTCGTGGTCTTTGACAATACTCGTTGCCGCCTCGATCTTTGCGAAATGGACGACTCGCCGTGGGGTGGTAGGCAAAGGACCGTGAACACCTGGACCGTCAACATTGCGCTGACCTCGTGGTGTAGATGTCCCATCCCAGTCGCAACCAGACGCCCCCGCCGACGATTCCAAAGGGAATGGACCTCCTGGTATGCATGGCTCAGATCATGGAAGTGATATACTGACCTCTATATCAGACACTCCCGCTACGAAACCTCCGTCCTCCAGCGGCCCCCGACCTCCCTCGTCCCGGAAGATCCCCGCCCGCAAGGTCGAAGTCCAGCCGACGAAGCTTGAAGCTGTGGATGATGCTCTGGACCCCCTCGGGCCTTTAGGAGGCGCCGACTCAGCCCCCGCAGCACCGTCGATATCTGCAGATCAGGCACCGACGCCTCCGAGGAAGGAGCTCAGTGCAAGAGTCAACCGCCAGCCATCTGGCGCGGCCGCGGGGCTAGCCGGCGCAGAATATGAAGATACCACACTTCCACTCGGTAGACCGAAGGGTCCGCCTCCTGTGCAACCTCAAGCAGCGTCGCCTATGCGGCAGACACCGTCTAGCGTGAGCATCGAACAAGCCGCCAAACCCACCTTCGACATCCTCGTGGGCGACCCGCATAAGGTGGGAGATCTGACTAGCAGTCACATTGTTTATCAAGTCCGGACAAAGGTGTGTGGTACTCACGCGGTGCCTTTACGAGCTGTTAACCTTTACAGACAACATCAAAAGCATACAAGCAGCCCGGGTTTACTGTTTCGAGGAGATATCGAGATTTCTTGTGGCTATATAACTCACTACACAACAATAATCCCGGTGTGGTCGTCCCTCCACCCCCCGAAAAGCAAGCTGTCGGTCGGTTTGACACGGAGTTTGTTGAATCCCGGCGGCAGGCGTTGGAACGAATGCTGAACAAGACTGCTGCTCACCCGATACTGCAACACGATGGCGACCTCAAAATCTTCCTCGAAAGCGATGCTTTCAATGTCGACGTCAAGAACAAGGAAAACCGAGAACCAGATTTGGGTCAGAACAAGGGTATGCTGAGTGCCATTGGGATCAACGTGGGCTCTTCTAGCGGTAAATTTGTCGAGCACGATGACTGGTTCCATGACCGGAAGATCTACCTCGACGCCTTGGAAAATCAGCTCAAGGCGCTCCTGAAAGCCGTCGACACCGTTGTGGAACAGAGAAAGGGGCTCGCGGCCGCAGCAGGAGAGTTTTCAGTGTCTCTTAACAGCTTGGCACAGGTCGACCTTTCCCCCGTGTTCTCCGGTCCTCTGCAGAGTCTGTCGGATGTTCAGATGCGTATAAAGGAGCTCTACGAGAGACAGGCTCAGCAAGATGTTTTGACGCTGGGAATCACAGTTGACGAGTACATTCGGCTTATTGGCAGCGTGAAGCAGGCCTTTTCCCAAAGACAAAAGGCCTTCCATTCATGGCACGCCGCGGAAAGCGAACTCGCGAAGCGTCGAAGCGCACACGAGAAACTTCTAAGGCAAGGAAAGAGCCAGCAAGACAAGCTCAATGAAGTGGGTGCCAGCGTGAGTGACGCAGAAAAAAGAGCGCATCAAGCTCGGTTGCTCTTTGAAGACATGGGCCGGCTGATGAGGGGAGAACTGGAGAGATTTGAGCGCGAGAAAGTCGAAGACTTCAAGAGCGGTGTGGAAACGTTCTTGGAGGGCGCCGTCGAGGCGCAGAAAGAGGTAAGTTGTCGGGACCACCGAAATGAAGATTCCGCTCGCTGACGGCACAGCTTATCGAGTTGTGGGAGACCTTCTTACTGCAGATGGACACGGAAGACGAAGCTCCTCTGAAGGGTCAGCCAGCACCGGATGAACCTGCGGCTACGGAGCACGCTCAATCACAGGGCCAGCTCGGTGAAAGCGAAGCGGGTGAGACTCAAGAGGCTGCCGCACCTGCCACCGCGACCGACGTGGCCCTCGAACAGGATGCTTAGTAGACGTCCCTGGAGCAAGGGTACAGGTATCGATCGAGGCCAGCAGACAGTAAATTGGTACAAACGGGCGGCTCCTGTTCCATCAACAGACATCAATCATCGCACGGGTTCTCGGTCCTGAGGTGCAGGTGCCTCCATTATTCCTCCACATTGCCTCTAGACACCCATCATATGCGCTCAATCCATCAGCTCGGCCAACTCGAGGCCAGCAACCGTGGGCCTGTGACCCTCATCGTTTGCTTGGATTTATCTTGTGTGATTCATATTTTGTGCTGAAACCCACTGTCCCAACCCTCGTCGAGCTCATTCTCAAGGGCCACAAACAATTTGTCAGGGTTCACCTGAACTTCACCGCATCTTCAAACGACACAGTGTGCCTTTACTTCCCCTCCAGTGCCCAAACTTGAAGCAGAATGCGACAGAGCTGAGAGAGCCAACAGGTTGGCAAGCAGTATATCTAACCGTCGTGAGCCTCCCACCGCTGTTACACTCCGAACCGCACCTTCTCTGCGAAGGCCACTCCACACCCATCGTCCAGAGTCACAATGGCAGTGTAACAAAAGTATGGCTTTCCCAACTCCGCCGTGAGAGTTCTCTGGTTCTCCTGCCACTCACCTGTTGGTGGCGCTCGAGACGTGGGCAATTGCCAGAAGCAGAGTTGTCAAAATCATCACAGAGACAATGGACCACACGATCATCTTCCAGACCATCACAGTGGACGGGCCATCTGCATCGCCTGCAGCAACAGGCACATCTTCGATCCTCGATTCGATTATCTCTGGCCTGAGCTCAAGATCAGCTGCTGGTCAGATTTCAAGCGCAGCCCCCGCATCCGCTATACCAGCAGACTCTACCACGCAACCCACGATCTCGTTGTCGATGACCCTCACGCTCAGCTCCTCACTGGTCCCTGGCACGATTACTGTTAGCACCGACATAGCCACACCATCTTCAACATCATCTGAACTCACCACGGCGTCGACTCTCAGTCCCGTCGCCCCGCCATCGACCTCTGTCTACACCACTGGTATTTACATAGCTCTCGGGCTGTTTTTGTTCTTCGGGGGGTTGTGTGCGTTGGCCACCAGTCCTGCCATCTCCACGGCTGTCAAAGCATTCTTCCAAAGGCGAACACGAGAGCAAGAGCAATGAATGATGTGAAGCGGAGGAACGATCAACTCTGAAAATGGTTGGGTGTTGGGTTTTGGGACACTGAATAAATGCGAAAGGCCACTATCGCGACTGGTCAAGCGAGACTATTCATGGCGCTGCGATCCGGACCGATGAAAGATTCTTCAAGCATGACAGAGCTTTGTCCGGACTGTTCCGGGCACGAGGACTTTGTTTTGAGTGTTGAGGACCGTGCGAAATATGTCACTGTACACAATGGCAAATGTGCTGGTACATGTCAGAGCGGTTTCTAATTCACCTGAACAATTTTGCAAGCTCTCTTACAGGTCGCAGCTGCAGGTTTGAATTGTTCCACTAAGTTCGTCCATTCTCTCGTCTGTCTGATCGTCGACGGCATCCAAGGCAGATCTTTGGCCATGTTGATCGAAGGCACGGTGAGCGCATACGGATGAGGTTGCGATATCGTGTATTGTCGATGAGCGCAGCTCTTTTGTCCTTGACCAGCGCCTACTTCTCGGTCCAGACGCAGTGATCCTGACCCCCTCGCAAAATCCCCGAGATATCAGCGGATCGAATCCCCATGCTCTCTTGTTCCGACACCCTCGCTGGCAATCACATACGAGATGCAGAGTGGGTTGTACTTTCCCCACACAATTCCGTCTCCATGCAGGAGGGTTAGGACGACCGAGGACGACCTTCCCCAAACACGACATGTCTGCGGAGTGTGAGCCCATCAAGACATCCACCTTGCCAGCGGCGCTGCTTGCACCGCGCCAATCCCAAGGAAAGAGCAGGTTCGGTCTTTCTGATTAGTATTGATGATATTTGGGCATGTGAGGCACAGATCACATATCGTTCACGACGACGACTTCTTTCTTCGTTGCTATCGGCTTGCCAGATCGTGACAACTTTCGTCTACAAAGATCAAGTATCCAGCTCGCAGTCTAGCAAATCCACGTCACAGGCCGCAGTACGAGCGTCTAACTCGACCAACCACGCCTACACTGGACTCTTTCAGGGATAGTACAACAGCGATGCCATTCTACGAGGTAGGCTCAATGCCCAGTGCCTTCCACTGACGCCGCAAGATTGGGGTCGTTATGCGCGGATCTCTTGCTTTCTGCTTGCCCCGATCCTCGTCTAACATATCCATCCTTGTGATGTGTTTCTCTAGCAGTTGGGTCGCAGGGTCGACAGTCACAGATAGCCGACTGCGTTCAATCGTTGTTGCTCACCCTTTTATTCGTTCTACCTGAATGAAGCCGTCCTCACCTCCACTCACACACCCCCTCTGGCCAGCATCCATGCGCGTTCTGGACTCCATGCTTCTCACTTGCTCTCCACGCCGAGCCCTTGCAACTATCTAACGCTCCCTCCAGGTCCAACATACCTACCCTCTCACGCTCCCGCAAAAGCATGCATTCGCAAAAGCAATCACAGAGCTGCACAGCACCACCTTCCTCACGCCATCTCTCTTCGTCAACGTCAGTTTCCACCTCCTCCAACCACGCAACGAGGAGAACGTGTATTTCCTCGCCGGCGAGCCTGTGGCCCACAACAACGCCGGACCAAATCGACTTCTGGCCATGGTGAGGACGGGTCCCAAACGGACAAAGGCAACCTGGGATGACCTGGCAGCGAAACTAGAGGAGAGATGGTACGACATCGTCAATGACGAGAAGCTGTAGGTTCGAGTGCATCCCCCTGGTGACGTTCCTCCGCTCTACGTTTCAGTGGGCGCGATTAAAAACCAAAAAAAAAAAAAAAAAAAATTGTGGCGCCGCGGCACTGACGTGTCTCCCAAACGTTGCGTAGAAACGGCCATCGAACCGGCGATGCGAACGCAGACAGAGCGGCAAAGAAGATGCACCTCATCACCTTTTATCCCATGCTCGCGGCGAGGGAGAACGGGGTCACCATCCCGGACGTAAGTCTGTTCTGTTTCTGTTTCTGTTTTCTGGCTGCCGACACTTTTCCCTTGATCCGCAGCACTTGTTCTTAAGTTTTGTGGTTGATCCTGACGGCGCGTGCCCCCCACAGGCTGGCAGCGAATCCTCCTGGCTGAGCGAGAACATGCCGTTCTTCAAATCCCAGGCTTTCGAGCACGGGGACGAGGATTTCCGCAAGATGATCGACGAGATCGACACGAGGGAAGATCTGAAGGCCATGGTGAAGAATACTTAATACGTGACGGCGACGTGGCCAGTCCGCAGTATTGAGGACGCGAGGGAAGGACAGAGGCACACCTCCGATGAGAGGTGTTTTGGGTGCATACATACGTACCTACTACTACAGGAATGATACTGATGGGACCAATTCCTGCTTGCGTGGGTGCCTCTTTTATTTCTCTCATTGTCATCGCTGAATGAAGTTGCATGCTCGTGGAGTCGTTGCTTTTTCCCACCTGAGATCTCCAAGACCGTAGAAACGACTCTGCTTGTCAATCTCCGGCAGGGAGGGATTGAAATGACCCTGCCTGACAATCTCCAGCAGGGCAGGATCATCCAAACAACCGGTTATGATCCAGCTCATTCTCCACGCAGCTACACAGGTTTTCATAGAACTGCACGCCTTTGAAGCCGTGGTTCTCCTTCCGAACACGCCACCCCTGCTGCCTCAACCTGGCTATCCTCTCCTTCTTCGCTTTGGCGTTTGCATCCTCTTGCTCTCCATCTCCATCTCCATTACCATCACCATCAACTTCGACTTCGACTCCAACTTGATCAACTTCTTCGCAATCTTCGCCGGGTTGCCTACCGTTGTGCGCGTCCCCGCCGCCACCGCATCCCGTCGGACGGTTCCTCCGTCTCGGACACGGCGAGCTCGTCGCCTCAAAGGACCAGAAACTCGCATACCGCTGCTTGGGGCCCAACAATCTGGCTGCGTGTCTTTCATTCTGCATCTTGTGCACCCTTGCGAGCTCCCCGTCTACATAGGCGGTGTGGTCCCTTAGGCGAGCGCGAAAGTCCGCCAACTTGGCGTTGTATCTCGCCAGTTGCAGTTGGGCGGAAGCGGTGGACGTGAGGTATGTTTCGAGGTGCTCGTTGCGCGGATCGGGTGAGAATGCTTCGCGGATCATGCGGAATCGAGGGATGGCGATGTCGGGGGTCATTGGTATGGAGTGAGCGGTGGTCAGGGGTGTCGATGGTGGTAGAGGCAGGATGCCTTCGAAGCGAGCGATGAGAGTTTGGACGACTGTCTGGCGGAGGAGGGGGCCTTGGGTCATGCGCGTGCCGTCTGTTTTGAACGAGAGCGGGTTGTGCTTGAAGGGGAGTGGAGGCAGGGGACGAGGAATGTCGTTGCCGTTGGCTGGCTGGGGAAGGCGAGCCTGTTTCGCATGCCGGCTGAAGAGGGGTGAAGGCACGAGTTCTTGCTGTAGCGCCTGTGGTGAGCTGAGGACACGGCTGAGGCGAGTTCTGTGGGTCGCTGGGGTCGCTGGGACGACAGGCTGCTTGTCTTCCGGTTCGTTTGGTTCTGCGACCGTAGGGAATATGGGTGGATGTTCTCGCTTTTTCATTGGCGATTGGTCGTCGCAGTCCGAGATTGGTTCTGCCTTTAGCGGACTTGCTGTCGAATAGATACTGCTGCTAGGGGATCGGAAAGGCGAACCCTCTCTGATACGCGGAGCTTGAGGGAATGTGGCATGGGTAGTCTGCGCCACCTTGTCCGTGAAAGGTAGGGAGAAGTGGCTATCAGCTGTGAGGGGAGAGTCATCTATCTGGGCGTATGTCCCTGCTTCCGTGGAAGCAAAGGGCATCGGAAGAGACTTTACTGCCAAATCAAAGCTCTCTCTGGCCGAGTCCAGGAATTGAAGCTTGTTCCGCGAGAAATCGTGCGCAAGAAGTCCAATGGCTTCATAACATACGGCGTGATAGAACCAGAGGAAAGCACGATGGAGGCCATGGATCTAAGGATAACGGTCAGTATCTGACGTCTAGGAGGTCGTCGTGCAGAGCGCCAATGTAGCGTACCTCTGAGCGCTGGAGTTGCTCGCAGAGAGCGATACATTGCTTGTACCGCCGTTCGTAGAAGAGGGTTTGGACTTTGACAAACTCTTTCCAGTAGTAAGTGATTTTCATATCTGCACCACGAATACACGTGGGGTCGACGGGAGTTTGTTCCACCTTGAGAGGGAGACAGGTCTCACGAACAGAGACAGTCGGCCGTGGTGATGAGGTGAAAGAGAAGATGAAATCTCTGTCTTGAGTGAATTGTGCCGCACCCTGCCGGCCTCAAAAGCGGTGACATGGTCCAATATCCCTTTTCGAAGCTCTGTAGGTTCCTTGAGACTGTATCGATCCATGCCTCTTCGTCATGTGCGTCCTGCCGATATCCAAGGTAGTCCAGGTTTCTGATCTGACGATTGTGAATCCTAGCGTATGTGTCTGCCCATGGCCTGCGAGAGCTTGACCTCGAGGAAGTGGTACCAGCTGCAGAGTCTGTGCGCGAGACAGACCAGCGGAGACGGAATAACGTACCTCATGCCGGTTCAAGATGTTGTTGCCTCGGGTGCCAGTTGGTTTCCGTCACGATGGATCAACGGTTTCTCATCTGAGTCCGCCAGACATCTGGGAGATTGGAGGAAGCGGGTTGATAAGCCCATCGTCGACCATATCATCAAGCTGATTCTTGATCCACTCCTCTCCCTTCGCTTGGCAGTCACGAGCAGCGTTTGCGATGACATCGGTGCTTTCCTGGAGAGATTGAGCCACTGCTGCGCGGAGTTGAGCTACCGCTTTCTGGTCGCCGTCTTGGTACAATTTGCTGGCATTGCGGTAGAAAGTCTCCGCATTCTTCAGGAGCTGTTTGCTATTTGACACTGCTGCAGCGTAAGACACTGGTGGTTGTCCCAGCTGATGCTGCAGGAGCGAGCAGTTCCCGCGGAAGAAGTGTGTGTCAGCAATATCATCGGGAAGAGGGTCCGACAATTTCGATGCTGTGGCCATGTTGGCTATTGCGGCCGAAAGCGCGCTCCATCTTGAGGCTGCATGGGAGATAGCATGGGACGGTAGACCTTCTGCAAGAGCAGCGTTGAATGAGACTAGACTGTGCGCGTTGGCCATCAGAGCAGCGAAACTCCTTTCCAGGCCCAGCTCAGCCACACGGAATGCTTCGTCTCGTTCTCTCCTGTATGTCTCGGGATCGATCGAGTTCTGGGCATGGCCGGCTTTCAACAACTCCGATACAAAATTTGCACGCGCAAGGGCGACTTCTTGCAATCGTTCGGCATCCGCATCCTGAAGGAGTTGTGGCAACTTTGCCTTGATCAGCTTAGAAGAATATTCTTCGATCCAGGCAAGGCTGGTGCTAGGAGCAGATGATTCTGAAGAACTCAGCACGCTGCATAGCGTAGTAAGAGTGCCTAATTGTGCAAGGACGGTGTCAACAAGTGTATCCTTGGTGACTGGTTCCACGACCGAAAACCATCTATCTTCCAAGTAATTGGCAGCCTGCTGCCCATCCTCATCCGCATCGTCGTTCCCGTCGTCGCTGGGTGCCGGGGCTGGTTCAACCGGCGTCTCCCCTGTACTTCGAGCCGCCTCGTTCTGCTGGCGAATATGGTCTTCGAACTTGAGTTCTTGAATGCTCAAACAACGGTTCTGGAGTTCCAAAGCTTCCTCAAGTAGCTGCAGAGCATTTTGAGCAGCATATTCCTCGTCTCTGGCATATGCCTCGGCAATAGCTGTCAGCACCTGAGCCGCGTTGAACAAAGTGTCCGGATTGTCCTGATCGAGTTGGAGAGCGTAGCGGTGGGCGCTCAATGCTTGGTCCAGAACTTCCAGAAGTGGACGTGTCAAATGTGGCACAAGGAGAGGATGCGTTGCGACCTCCAACAGGATTCTTGCTCTGGTGTGAAATTAGCGTCTGGAAAAGGACCAGATTCATTCGTAAGGCACACTTATTATAGGCCAGGTCGAGGCTGGCTGGGAACTTTTGCAATCCCTGGTCATACACCTCAATCGCCCGGCAGAAGAAACGCATAGACTTGGCACCATCGCCGGCTCTCCATTTCCCTGCAGCCTCTTCGAAGTCCACCCCAGCTGTCGGGGCGTGAGCAACGGTGCGAAGATCGAGAGAATTGTCCGGGGCAGCTCACCTGCCTGAAAATCATCGGCCGTGTCCAAAGCCTAACTCAATTGTCAACATCTGTTTCCTCAAGGTTACCTATTCCGGCGGCGTTGTCTCACCTGTCCTACTTTCTTTTTCGACTTCGACTGCTTGAGATAAGCCTTGGGCTTAGACATACTGGGTAGTGACTACGACGAGAGGATGGGGCGCAGAAGCCTGAAGCCGGCTGGAGAAGCCTTGCGCCAACACAGCCCTGTAATCATGGGTCAGCTGGCTCGGGACGATGGCGAGGTTGGAGTAGGCAGATCTAGGTGTGCCGCGATGGTGGTGTCAGGCTCGAGGGGGCGAGTCATCCATATTTCGGCGGTCGTTAAGCTCACGGGGACACCCAACTTCGAGTAGCCAATCGTGGTAGAGATGACTCCTAGACTTGGCGACTTGGGGGTGGGTACTTACTGTACTTTGTAGATTCAGGCTGTTTTGAAAACTTTGATTCGGTGGACCAAGGTGGTCTGAGATTTGAGAATGGCCTTCTCCGAAACAAATCTGACTGTCGACCAAGGGCCGTCTCGTACCCACGGCGGGCGTGCGAATGCATGCAACGACGCCAGGTCAAGCAGCGAGAATCTTCCATCTCAGTTTACGAGTAGAGAACCGAGTCAGCATGACGATAGGCTGGGGATTGGTGATTGTGCGGAGTATCTATTGACGATACACCCCCAGGAGACTTGCGAGCATTCTCGTAGCCAGCCTTGGTGGGCTCCGAGGCGCCTTCGCCGGACGCTCCCGGAGAACCTTTCATCCCGCTTGAGAGGCTGCAGGTGCAAACTCCGCCGCCCCGCCCATCTGTTCGAGGCTGGATTTGGGCGCGAGGCACGCCCCTTCTATTTTCGTTTATTGCGGCCCTCAATGTGGTTGTGCCCTGCTAGGACGAAGTACTGGGTACTAGTACTGGGCAGGACACTAGGGCAAGACGAGAGCATCGCGGTCTGTTAGTGTGCAGCGAGACAGCAACTACTGTGCTTTTTTCGTATCGAACCGTGTGAAGCTGATCCTTGCCCCCATCCCGAGCCCTCAGAAAGGAAATCTCTGCAACCCACTCGTGCTCTGGACCCAGTAAATTGTCAACCCACGCCTCAGAATGGAGGTCGCCCGTACGAATGTGGTCCTCTTTCGGGCAGACTCCTGCCGCCTTGATACGCAGCCACTGATCCCCTCGTTGTTCTTGTACTGTTCGTTACACAGCGCATGACTTAGACGATCGACGTGACAGATGTCATCGCCGCACACCATCTCACCCATGTCGCGTCCGCACTGACCATCACCACAGCATGACGAGCGGCGTGGATGTGCAGTCGAATCCAACTCGTTCCACACCCACGCTGCAGCCCGTTGCCCGCCAGTGACAAAGTCAGCAGCACAACCTGGTCGCCCCGCCCACGCCATCGCCGCACTACTGCACGCTCGCTGCAAGAAGATTGCGAGAAGACCACCCACGCCAGCCCCGAAACGCACAACCCCGCCGGGTTCCTCCAAGCACCTCGAAAGCGTCCTCCTGCCATGACCTGCAGACACCTTCCGACGCCATCGCCGACCTCGAAATTTCGCCTTTTTCATTCGACGTCAGTTGTACCTCCCCTTCCATTCGTTCACCACGAGGCTGCGTCAACGTCCACGCAGCACCAAACTGATCACTTGGTGCACTGCATTCACTCAGCCCAAGCTCACCGGGCTCCTGGTCCCTCCCTCGCTCAAGGATGAAACTCCTGTGAGCATCGTGTCGCCCCTCAACCATCTGCCGCAGCCCACCTGCGGGCTTGATCTCCTGCGTCGGGTGCTTGATGATGACTCACGAAGAGCGCGAACTGCACAGTGTATGGGCACGGGAAATGCAAGACGATGGCATTGTCCCCGCGGTGGGGGATGAGGACTTTACAAAGTTCCTCGACCTGGACAATGACTTCCAACATTACACCACCCTGAACAATGGCCACTCCGGCCTCGATACGCCCATGGGTCGACTGGGCTTTGGGAACAGTAACACCGACTTGACATATACCGGGGCGGAGCAGATGAACATGCATGTTAGTGCGACCAGTGAACCCGTGGGCTATCGCAACCATATACCGAATCAGCCGTATGGCCAGTATTCGCAGTACCAGCAGATGCAGATGGCGCCGCAGTACCACGTGCCTCCGACGCCCGTGAGCTCTGAGATTCATCCGGCCAAGTATGCGCACCAGATGGGAAACAACGGACAATTACTATTTGACCATCAGCAGGTAGGTGGACGGCGAGTCGATGGGGACCTCATGTACTGACAGTCCGTAGGTCTCTTTCACACCTCTGGTGTCTCCTGCGCAAACCCCAATGGATAATGCGTATTCCATGTCCGACTACGGGTTGGCCGACGAGTTCTTCAGTCCATTGACGTCACCTGCGATTGAAGCACAAGCCGCGTTCAGCTCAACTGGCACGACGGCCTCGCCTATCGACCTCAATGAGCTGCCGGCCGCAGGGAAGCCTGCCGCGACGGGGACTAAGCGTCCGCGGGGGAAAGGGGCAAATGCCGCTCGTGCGCCGGCCCGCAGCGTAAAACAGTCCCCAGCGATGAAGCCGCAGCCGCGCCGTCGACATCCTTCGCTTACCTCGGTGCCAATGGACAAAATCCGAGACATGCTTCCGCAGGCTGCGCCTGGGTCTACTCTGCACCCATCAGCTCCTCATAACGCCGTGTTCCGGGGCAGTGATGATTCTGTTTCCCCGGAGCCCTTGTCGGAAGCCGCCATGAGACCACCTCCAGTGCCTCAATCCGGCAGGTCGCCGCAATCGACGGTCGCGCCTCAAGATACGCAAGCCAATAACCCTGTCACACCGGCAACTTTGATGCGGATGCCGAGCAATCAAGCAATGCCCACGAAGATGGACCAGAACATGGTTTCCCAGAATGCAAGTGAGCCTATGGAGGATATCATGTTACCGGATGCTGCCGCTCCTGCTACGGCCCAGACAGGAATTCCCTCCGTGGATAACGGTCGAAGCTCCGTCTCTAGCGAAAATACACCAACCCTTTCGGCAAAGTCCGCTAAAATCAGTGCGGCAAGCACGCCTAGAAGTGCGTTGACGAGAGCTATGTCGCAAGAGAACTTTGCAAAGCCAGAGAAAGTTGAGAACCGAGGCGGAGGCCGTGCCAGCAAGAAGCGGCAGAGTACGTCCTCCGCCACCATATCGCCAGCACTGCGACCCAAAATCTCGCCTAGTATCAGCCCGTTGGCACCTGCAGCAGGTAAGCATCAAGTCGCGAGTCGGCACGGCCACCAACTGACCCTTCTAGGTCCGGGGATGTCACATCTCTCCGCGGAAACGAGCGCCTTGTACCTGGCGTCGAAGTCGAACTACCAGAACATACTCGAAGGCACGCATTTGCCAGGAGTGTCCTACCCGGAGACCCTGGCTGAGAACCTTACCTCGAAACGCACGTCACATAAGATTGCCGAACAAGGCCGCCGAAATCGAATCAATCTGGCATTGAAAGAGATCGAGACCCTTCTCCCGCCTGCTATCCTTGTTGCGAACGGCAAGAAGGAGAAATCGCCAAAAGACGAGGTCGACGAGGGGGAGACCCCGACTGCCAAGAACTCAGCACCTGGTCAAGGTGCAAGTAAGGCCAGCACCGTGGAAATGGCGATTGTTTACATTAAGAGTCTTCAGAACGAATTGAAAGAAACAAAGGAGAAGCTTGAAGCCGCCGAGAAGAAAGTCGCCGAGACAAGCGCACAGGAGAGCACCGCAGAGTGTGCGACGGCGTCCGAAGCATAGAAGCGAACACAGCGGCACAAGCCCGTTTTGGATTTATGGCTGAATTCGGTGTGATGGGTTTATGAGTCTTTATGAATCTCGGACCGCAATGAAGAAGAAAAGACACCAGCGGGTTACCAGGAGTTCAATGATTCGGGACGAGAGTCAGTGGGTCTGGATTTGCTCACCTTTTGATATATGTCCACAGTTGATAGATAGCTGTGATTCCAGCACCAATCATCTTGCAGATCATGTGCAGCACGGTCGTGCCATGAGTGGCTGGTGGGTGGCTTTTCGTGTATGTATATTGTCCCGTAGAGCCGTACGGCCACCGGAGCACGTTGTTAAAAGCAATAGGAATATCAAGATTCTCAGTTGGAGCGCATTACTCCTTCTGTGTCACTTTGGATCTGCTCGGTTTTCCAATGCAAGGCTATTTGGCAGAGATCGTTCTAGATACTGCTGGTAAAGGCTAGTGGGAAAGCCCCCGCGCTGCGGGTTGCCGTGCAGCAAGGCAAACTAGGCTAGCCGTGACCGGTCAGACAGACGATTTTCGGTCTTGGTGTGAGGCTGCACCACATACAGTGAAGCAGCGGAACTGTCTATTGAAACTGATGCTGGTATCCACCCCTGTGCTGGGAAGAGCGCATTTAAAAGATGTCGATTGCGGTGGCAGTGAATTTGAAGTGATATCTCTGGGCACGATATAGTACCCAGGAGCGAATTGGTGTTCATGGAGGTCGACGCACAGCTCAACTACAACTAACCTTGACGAAGCGATCTCGTCAGACGAGGACAAGAGACGTTGACTAAGCTTAAGCCCTGAAGCCTTGGCGAGTGAAGGACCCACAATGAGCTGGCGGACCATTCAGGTGGCCGCCTGCAGGCAGGACTCAATCGAAGGCCGTGGAATCACGAATAGATTTTCTGTCCTATATAGCCGTTGCTGAAGCCTTTCCTCCCTCTCACCAACTCACCACGAATAAACTTTCCATTCTCTGCTTTGACGACAGTTCGCTCACCTGTCCTCAACCTAACATACTCTTGAACTGTAAGTCCACCTCTTCGTGACACTTCTCCGTGCTCTTCGGGACCTGCCTGATCGACTCGGCTTCTCCAACTGCGACGAGGTCGAGCTGAGCAGGCGGCACCTTGGGCCTCCGGAACTCGCATCGAATTGAGCTTCGCGATTGAGTTCATCTGTACTGACTGTCTGTTCTCCCTCAGACCTAATATTCTCCACACCGCCGCAGCAATGGCCTCAGAAAGCTTTGAGTTCCAGGCTGAGATCTCTCAACTGCTCTCCCTCATCATCAACACCGTCTACTCCAACAAAGAGATCTTTCTTCGAGAACTGATCTCCAATGCCTCTGATGCC